CTTATTGGCCTTTTTAAACCAGCTGACCTAAGTTCCACACAGAGCATTATGTTTATTATGGAAAAGTCCTGCATTATTTTGCCAGGCCCGCAAACCTTGAACATGCAGGATTCACTGTGAATCCATGGTAGCAATGCTTAAACAGCATCCCTACTTAGTATCCATCAATTCAACTCCAGCACCCCTTTACACCAAGGTATAAATGGGCCCCATTTGCAGCTACATGGACAGCTATACAATTAACTTTACTCCTAACTGTAGTAGAGTATCAAAAAAAATCTCAAGACTGATTACAAATCAATAATAAATTATTTATGAATACAATCATACATTTAAACCATGGCTCCTACTAGTTTTTAAAGCCACTCACTGACAGCACTTTGCTTTCTATGTAAAACGGCTAATAATATTTAACCATACATTCTTTCATGTCATTCTGCAAATAGAATTTACGTCAATGTTTCTCAACAGACAACATCGATCTATATCCAGTAAATCAAGCAAAAAAAGAGTAGTTGTTGCTCATAATGCAGAAGATTCTGGGAAAGTTCTCCACAGTGTTTATGTATAACATTTTAAAACTATGACTGCATAAAACTAAAATATATGCAATGAAAATGTCAATTATTTGTTATCTTAAAGTGGTTGTAAACCTCAGACATGAAATATGAACATATGAACTATTTCTCTATAGTGTGTATTTGTCTCAATTAAGAGCACTAAGTGTCATTTCTGTCTGCTGCTCTGTTTCTCTGCTATCAGCATGAATCGCTGATGACAAGTTTTTCTGAAACTAAGAGAAAAAAATGGTGACAGGGGAGGGACCTCCAGTACACAACCTGGGATAGAAAGATTCATGTTTGTTCCTGTGTGCTGTGTGAAGGGGGAATGTCCCTTCCCACCAATCAGCTCTCAGAGCTCTCTTCACTGAGGTCTACATTGTGTAGTTTCAGCTCTCCACCCCCAGTTTTCTGAAAGCTCAGACAAACTTGAAAAAATCTGGACTTTGAATGGATGTAGAGAAGACTGCAAATAAACAGGAACAAATTATGATAGAAAATGTGTTTAATCTCTGTGTATCACCTGAGGCTGGTCCCTTCATTGGGTAAATGTAAGGGTTTACAACCACTTTAAAGTGTATGTCTAGCAAAAATGTATTTTCTTAATTTTAGATTGAGAGGGGGAGGGTTAAGGGTTAAAAACCGTTTTTTTTTCTATTTCTATCCTCAACTTAATTTCTTTCCTCATGACAACATATTACCAGTGAGATAGTGAGAAAAACTTTCTGGCAGCAACAGAGACATTCAAATTATTTTCTATACTAGAGTACAGGACGGCTGGATCCTCTGTTCTTTTCTATCTGAGTCTCTGTTGCAGATTTTTCCTCACTTCCTGCCTGGTGAAATCATTGCTAAGCAAGGATGATTCTTTGCAAAGCAGTAAACACCTGACAAGAGTTCTCATCCCCCCTCCACATTTAAATAAAAAAAAGACCTTTAAGCTACCTAGGTAGTTGACTAAGGCTGGCCATACACTATACAATTTTCTGTCCAATTTCTGCCTAATTTTCTTTAGATTAACCTTTAGCTGCGTAGTGCAAGGGCTCGCCTAATTGGATATTATATTATTATTATTATTATTATTATTATACAGTATTTATATAGCACCAAAGGGTTTGTTCAGCGCTGTACAAAGGCAGGGGGACAAGACATGAGACAAGACAGAGACAGTGCGATACAATTGAAAGTTTTGTTTAGGTTTAACCTAATGTTATATGGTTTTTGGTAAATCTAAAGCAATTTTCTAAAGAACATTGTATAGTGTATGGCCAACCTAAGAATAGTATGGAGCAGTGATGAATGAACAGGGCAAAGTTTGTTTTGCTGCACATTTACCAAACCTGTTGGGAAATATGCAAATACCAAACATAGCTTTGAATCTTATGGAAGACTATGGGATTCATTCTTTTTTCTTTCAAGGCTAATGTGCAAGCTTTTAAAAAAAAGAGAGCATGGGGTAGTTGGGTGCTGCCACAAGGAACATGAACCAATTTTAAAAAATACCAATATATACTTATACAGTATGTACACATGTCCTTTAAATAACATGCTTTGGGGTGCCTAAAACCTTCTCCAGAAGTTGTACAATGTACTCCTTTAAAAGCGATGGTGTTTTTCTTTTTAAAAACAGCAGCTGGGAATCTGTTAGTAAGATCTTGACCATATTTGCTCACTGACATCAAGTGCTAACCCCCCCCCCCCCCAGCTTGTTTACTTACAGAAGCCATTGAGGATCTGTCAGTGCAACAGGGGTAGAAATGGGAAAGCACTGCCAATCTGCAGGTCGCCTTGGCAGCAAGCCAACATCGCTGGGCGGTTCTCATAAGGATTGTTGTGGATCTACATAGCAGGATGATGTGGCTGACATTGGATTTACATCATGGGATTTTGCTTTTTATTTCAATAAGTACTTTTTTCATGGTGTGGTTTTTTTTTATAAATTTTTTTTCAGTTTTGTACTATATGTATCAATATTCATTCATATGGGAGGCACCCTCCTGTTCTAAACAGGGGCTTCCAGTTTTTATAAATCCCCCTGCAGTCTACTGTATCTCTTTTTAGGACAAGATGTGGTAATGGGACCTTTGTCCTCTCAACATCAGAACAGGAACCCCATTGTTGCTTCAGAGGTCGATAACCAAAGTCTGCCAAAATCTGATTCTGATATATTAGAAATGGTTGAGAAATTAAATAGCGCCATGGAAAAAATATATAATATATACAGGTGAAAAAGCTGCAAAACCTAACCTATAAAGCATATAGGGTGCATAAATTATAAAAAAAACCAGATTGCGATAATGAAAATATAATAAGACCTCCACTCGGGATATAAAGAAATAAAGACTCATGGTGCAGTACATACTAAAACTTCCAATTTAATAAAAAGTATTGCACTTACAAGAAGCCGTGTCTATGCCGACACCAGCGCAAACAGCGTGATCAGTAACACTACAGGGACCCAGTCTGGCTGAGCATGCGCCGTACCAACGACCTGGGAACGTCCTGACGTCACATCCAAAGGCTCCGCCCTACGTGTTTTGTCATCAACGTCCTCACGGAGCCTTTGGATGTCCGTGTAGTGTTACTGATCACGCTGTTTGTGCTGGTGTCGGCATAGACTCCGCTTCTTGTAAGTGCAATACATTTTATTAAATTGGACGTTTTAATATGTACTGCATCATGAGTCTTTATTTCTTTATATCCCAAGTGGAGGTCTGATTATCCTAAGGATTCGGTGGCTGAATTGTTGGAGTGGATCTATATGGTATACTGTCCTGCAGAATATTGCTCCCTGGAGACCAGATATAAAGTTCCTAGTGTTGCCTCAACCATTTGCAGATTATTGCTCCCAGAGCAGCAAGCGCTATGTGCTGATTTATAACATGATCAGCATATTGCTCTGGTGAGTTTATTTAACCTATTTTGGTGGTGGATTCACTGCGGTGGAAATTGTTTGAACACTTCTTTTAATTATCATGGATTATATCACTTTGGACTTTTATTTTGGACTTTATATGATTTATATGTGATTTTATTGAGATATATTTATTTGGGTATATTTTCATTAGTGCAACCTGTTTTTTTTATATTTTCTAGAAATGGTTACTGGGCCTTTGACTGTCATGAATGGCAGTAAAGGCATAGTGAAGAACTAAACAAATACTTGGACCTTTGCATTGTAGATCAGACTGGTTTCCTTGCAAGATGCTTAGATGAGTTAAAAATAACAAACCTCTGACTACTCTGATTATTCTGATCGGATCATTCTAATAATTCAAAATCTGACTGTATTTACCCAAAGCAGGTTCTTCACAAAACTCGTACTTTTTACAAAGTGTACAAAAGCAAAGTTTAGTTAATGTCATGGCATATTAGTCAGACTAACTAAATAAATATTAAAGTCTTAGTTGTGCACAAGAGTAAAAATCATTTTTTGAGTAAGTGTTGTATAAAGCTTTTTCAGTGCTGGCAATACTTTGCCCTGTAATTTATATCTCTCTTCTGCTTAATGTACTGTAAATAAATAGTGTCAGATTTCTGTTCAGTGTTCCATCATTGTACAGTACATGCTATAGCAGTGTTCTTAGCTGCAGAAGAAAATAAGCTTCAACTTTTCTATATATTCAACATACACTATATTGCCAAAAGTATTGGGATGCCTGCCTTTACACCCACATGAACTTTAATGGCATCCCAGTCTTAGTCCATAGGGTTTAATATTGAGTTGGTCCACCCTCAGCAGCTATAAAAGCTTCAACTCTTCTGGGAAGGCTGTCCACAAGGTATAGGAGTGTGTCTATGGGAATGTTTGACCATTATCCAGAAGCCCATTTGTGAGATCAGGCACTGATGTCAGACAAGAAGGCCAAACTCATCCATGTCTTTATGATCCTTGCTGTGTGCACTGGTGCACAGTTATGTTGGAACAGGAAGGGGCCATTCCCAAACTGTTCCCACAAAGTTGGGAGCATGAAATTGCCCAAAATGTCTTGGTATGCTGACGCTTTAAGCCCTGGTTCACACTGATGCGGTGCAGAATTTGCAGCGTTTTCAGTGCGAATTCCAAACTGCATCAGAATCGCACTCCTTTCATGCGAACCGCTGCGGGTGTGTACGTTAAGTTAACAACACCCCGAAAGCGGTTCGCAAAATGTGGTGCGATGTGAAGAATCAGATTCTAGTGTGGACCCAAAAAAGGGTCCTGCACGTTTTTGGTGCGAGTGCGGTGCGAATAGAGCCATGCAATTGTATGGCTCCGATCGCGCTGCACACAAATCGCATGTGATTTGCACAGGAATGCGGTAATGCTACCGCACCACACGTATGTGAACCCAGGCTAAGAGTTCTCTTCACTGGAACTAAGGGGCCAAGCCGAACCCCTGAAAAACAACCCCACACCATAATCTCCCCTGCATCAAAAACTGTACACTTGGCACAATGCAGTCAGGCAAGCACTATTCTCCTGGCAACCGCCAAACCCAGACACATGCATTGGATTGCCAGACAGAGACGCGTGATTGGTCACTCCAGAGAACATGTCTCCACTGCTTAAAAGTCCAGTGGTGGTGTGGCTTACACCACTGCATCTGACGCTTTGCATTGCACTTGGCTGTTCGGCCATGGAAACCCATTCCATGAAGCTCCCTATGCACTGTTATGCTAATCTGAAGACCATACAAAGTTTGAAAGTCTTTAGCTATTGACTCTGCAGACAGTTGGCAACTTCTGCGCACTGTGCGCTTCAGCATGCGCTGGCCCCGCTCTGTCATACGTTGCCTATCACTTTGTGGCTGAGTTTCTGGTATTCCCAGTTGCTTCCACTTTGTTATAATACCACTAACAGTTGACCGTGGAATATTTAGCAGCAAGAAAATGTCACGGATGGACTTATTGCACAGGTGGCAACCTATCACAATGGGGAAAGAACAAAAAGAGGGCGCACAGGCCTAGTGCATTACCATAAAAAATGTTTAATAAAAAATAAAGTAGGTGTTGTACTCACAAACGACAATATAGTCAAGGCACATCATAGAAGAACAGCTGGATCAACACCGCGCTGAGTAACAGTCCACAATAGGGAGTTTAGACATCCAAAAGGCTGACACGTTTCGAGGACTTGCCTCTTCCTCAGAGCCAACTGACCAAATGTCTGCTCCCTCTTTTATATGCTCACTACTAGTTAAACCAAAGGTCACATGGGCCGTCCTGGACACTCCCCTGTGCAGGTGGAGGAGTCACAGGGGCAATCGACATAATGTAAGTAAACACGAAAGGTCTATAAAAAATACATACACATATATATATATATATACACGCACAAATAAAACCATTGAAACTAGTGACAATCATAAAATCATATGAACCATAAGAAGTGTGCACAGTGGAAAATAAATAAATAAATGGAAAGTTACACATATATAAAAAAATATAATAAAAATCCTTCCCTGGTGATGCACTGCACTGCTCGCCTTTAAATAAATAAATGGATGGATGAGCAACGCTACGAAGCTGCCTAGTGCTCTGCTTGCCATAGACAACCATGGGACATGGATTTAATATAGAGAGTAGATCTGAAACCCAGCAGAGACACTTATTAATTCCTTTCCTTTTTTTTTTTTTTTTTTTTTTTTCCTTTCTCTTTCCCCCCTCTTTAGTGCTAGTTCCATCATTTCCCTTGTGACCTATAGTGGGTACACCATCCACTACAGATGTATGCTTTAGATATATTCATTTTCATCAGCTATGATTACTATAGTATCATCAGTATAGCTACCATTACCCTGCATCCTTACACATTAGGTTGCTCACTTCATATTTATTGTGTCACCCTTAGGCGCTTGCGTATGACCGCATTCCCATGCGCTTGTGTCTATGGGTCATTCATTGGTCACCCATTTTTTAATTCAGTTTCCATATGTGTGTGTGGGTTTATGTGTGTATGTATAGACATGTTTTTTACTAAAAAGCAGTTGCTCATGTGGATGTGTCACACACACATGTGCGCACGCATGTTGTCCAGTGAGCTCTCTTCGAGCACTGCTTTCTTATCCAGCAAGTGCTTGTTCCATAGCGCCTTTGACATTTTTATATAGTTCTTATATATAACACATATATACATCTTTTGTACATTTTTTATATAATTATTTATTTTATTTTTTTTATTTTTTTTTTTAATTTTTTTTTTTTTTTTTTTTTTTATTATAAATTTTTTTTTTTTTTTCTTTTTTCCTATATATTTATATTTCTTATGCTTCCATGTCTATGCATGCACACATATACCATACACTATACCATTTTACCAGATATTATACTATATTGTAACAATACTTATTTAATTTTATTTTATTTAAACTTTGTGAGCCATATTAAGAAGTTGTTTGTAACTTTTTATATCAACATTTATGTTTTACTAGTGATTTATCTCCTTTGTTCTTGTATATAGTATTGCATATGCATATCCATCCATGGTGCACTACATTACCTACTACATCTTATGGTTCATATGATTTTATGATTGTCACTAGTTTCAATGGTTTTATTTGTGCGTGTATATATATATATATATGTGTATGTATTTTTTATAGACCTTTCGTGTTTACTTACATTATGTCGATTGCCCCTGTGACTCCTCCACCTGCACAGGGGAGTGTCCAGGACGGCCCATGTGACCTTTGGTTTAACTAGTAGTGAGCATATAAAAGAGGGAGCAGACATTTGGTCAGTTGGCTCTGAGGAAGAGGCAAGTCCTCGAAACGTGTCAGCCTTTTGGATGTCTAAACTCCCTATTGTGGACTGTTACTCAGCGCGTGTTGATCCAGCTGTTCTTCTATGATGTGCCTTGACTATATTGTCGTTTGTGAGTACAACACCTACTTTATTTTTTATTAAACATTTTTTATGGTAATGCACTAGGCCTGTGCGCCCTCTTTTTGTTCTTTCCCCATTCAGTATATTTGGATTCCCCCGGTCCATTTGAGGGCAGCAAGGTGTGCATGTTCCAGGACATTCTTAATGTGGTTGTAGCATCGAGTCCATCCCCAAGCGCAGGAGCATTTGTGTTTGCTGGCAACCTATCACAGTACCACGCTTGAATTCATTGAGCTCCTTAGAATGACCCATTCTTTCACAGATGTTTGTGAAAGCAGTCTGCATGCCTAGGTGCTTGATTTTATACACCTGAATCCAATGATTTGGAGGGCTGGCCCAATACGTTTGACAATATAATGTATGTTAGAAACAGTAACATTTTTGTGGACAAAAGCTGGCCATATACTAGTACAGTCATGCAAAAATTTTCAGCATATTTGATAACTTTACAAATATAGTTTGAAAGTATTTTCTTTTTTTTTAACATTCAATTTTGGAATGAATGGGCTTTTCTTACTGAAAACCATATACACTTCTAGAAATGTTGATCCTGTTCCTTAAAATATCATCACTGCAGTTGAAAATAAATGTCAGTTTGACGCCACTAAGTATTAGGAAAATTGATTGATTGTTTATAAAAAAGAAAAACCATGAACATAATTCTACTAGTGTATAGTCAGCTTTTCCCAATAACAATGGTCTAATAAATTGTTCAAGAGATTACTCATTATAGGCAAGTATATGTTTTATTAAAAAATAATAGATTATCTTCTACCACATCTTCTCACTTGCCTCTCTGGTAAACTATCATCATATCTTCAATTTTGTTTGATCAGCATCAATGTAAAGTGTTGAACAGACTTTGTTTCTGCCAGTTAATACAATTGCTACAACAGGGAGTAAACATATTGCCACCCTCATTTAGTACATGTTACAGTATGCACTGCAGGAACAAAAGCATGAATAGAGGATATTCACATTTATAGATGATACCAGATGGCAAAAATAAATCAATCTTTATTCATGTTGCTTAAAACACCCCTGTGGCAATGCGTGATAAATCATTTTAACTATTGTGTTCTACAAAGAAAACATGATACAGGGCTATATATTGTCACCATTTCTCAGAGGCATTTTGTTTTCTGTTTTAAATCATATTTATCTAATTAATATTGTATTTTATTGCATGCAGTCCTGTGCGTATTATGCAATAAACACATGGGTGATAGTTTTGCCTGGAGCCTCAAGAGTGAAGAAGAACGCCTGCTTTTCAAACTCAAATTATTAAAGCTGGAACTCCACCCAAAAGGGGGAAAATCTGCTTAAGGACTCGTTCCAGCTCCCCTGGATGAATTGCCCCTTTTTGAGGAGTGCGGGGGATACACACTCCCACTTCTGCTCAGACTGCCTAGATGATCAGAAGCAGAAGTTCTCCTTATTCCCCTCCATCCCCGTAGGCTTCTGGGACCATTCACAATGCGCATGCACAATGCAATCTGTGGGATCATTCACAATGCGCAGAGCTGCTGGCTCACAGCGGACACCTGACTGTGAAGCCTCAAGCTGTCACAGCTGGGAGCCCAAAGTTAACATGATGGCGCTGAGAAAACAAGACAGCAGGTGGAACTACCTGCCGTGAGCACACCTCTGGATTGTCGGGCAGGTGAATGGCTGTTTTTAAAAGTCAGCAGCTACAGTATTTGTAGCTGCTGACTTAATTTTTTCACAGGAGACTGGAGAACCGCTTTAAGATATATGGATTTATTTCACTAAAGGGGTAGATACTGTAGACTTAACAGTGAATATTAACAGAACTTGGCAAATAAAATGAATGTGTTCACTTAAAGGGTAACTCCATTTTTGTGGGATAAAATAGCATACAAAAAAATAAATATAGCATATGCAATTGCCACGTAAGTCATACTGTAACTGAATGTTATTAAAAATTACCTTTCCTTTTTAATCTGAAGTGCTGTAAGTTTCTGTAAAATGCAATGCAGTATGGCATCCTGGAGGAGTTCTGTACACAGATGATGTATGCAACACCTCTCCCCCCACATAAATGTTATTTCCTGCTTGTGTGATTGGCTTACTGATCTTTCCAGAAGTGTGTACTAAGATAAAAGGCAGAATTGGGGCATCCCCTTCAACAAAATTGTTGGTAAGATACTCCCAAAGGGAAATAACTTGTAAAGAGATGCAGACCCTGCCACTTTCTTAATTAGATCCCTACAAGTGCAGCAGTTGATAGTTATAAAAATCATTCCCATTAGATTCATGTTACACATGGACACAGACAAACCAACAGCTATTTCTTCAAACGGTAGGAAAAAAAGGTAGGAATCGGGAAAAAATGTTTGTTAAAATTCCTGCAATGCACATAGATCACCCAGAGGGGATTGTTTTTTTCTCAACAAAAGTGGATTTGTTCTTTAACCACGTGGCAACCGTGCTATAGCAGAATGATGACTACAGCATGGTTGTCCAGTTCTGGGAGGGCGTCATATGACATCCTCCCAAAACACGCCCTCCCACGTGCCCCCAAAGAGATGAAATCATGCATATAAATCAATGTTAGTATCAATCGAGATTATATAATTCTCAACCATGTATATAATTGCAGAGAATCACCACTTCAATTAGGAACTCAAAAACCTAACAGTCCTATCACCCTCATAAAAGTTGTGCTGTGAGTGATTATAGAGGGACAAGATCCTGACTTGAAATCAATTGACTAAGGCTTGGTTCATATATGTCCACAAAAATCCATGGAGCCGCACCACCCGCACAGAAGAATGCAGACCCCCCGGGCGGGTGCCACTAATTCTAATGGCACGCCACCCGCACTGAAAATCTCAACCGCACTGGGTTCCTGTGTGGGCTGCAGTTTCCAAAGAAGTGCAGGGACTTCTTCCCTGCGTATCACGGGGCACAGGCCGCATATATGTGAACCAGGGCTAATAGATGTTCCAGGCAAACCAATCAGCAAGGAAAACGCCCTCTGACGAATAGCTGTAGTCAGTCATGAAATTATTTTGCAGGAGGAGGTCTGTGTGAAAACATAGATTATAAAGTTGAACAGACGCAGCATGGATGTTCACTCAAATTGTAATTAATCAACTTGTCTCCAATTGAAACCATCAATCCACCGCATTAGCAGATAGTTAGTCTGTATAGTGGGAAAACAATCCACTCTTAGTGGCTCATCCAGCAGAGACCATCAGAGGGCTGTCACCCTCATAAAGGCTGTGCTATAAGTAATTTCAGATGGACAAAGTTCTGACTTGGAATCAATAGACTGATAAGTGTTCCAGGCAACCTAATCAATGGGGAAAACACCCTCTGGAGGATAACTGTAGTTATTCATGAATTATTTTACAGAAGGAGGCCTGCGTGAGGAACATGGATTGTAAAGTTGAACAGACCAGCATGGATGTTCTCTGCAGACAGTTCAATGTCTACACGTAAAGCTAAAACTACTGTTCATGCCACCTGTGGTTCTACAATTATCACACACCATCAATCTAATTAAAACAGTTATATAATGAATGACAGGTAAATTAAATCTGCGGATTCTTTCTTCATTAAATGGGCACTTTGGGGATTAAATTTACAATAGTTACAAGAGTATCTCCAGAAAAAACGACTATCATCTACACAGTAAATGCTTAAAAACCATTTACTAAATACAAAAATACGATCACACTAAAACCAACCCCATGTATATGATTATACATTCTAATAATGCACCTTAACCCTAAAAAACAAAAATAATCTAACAAGTGGAGACATCATCTAGAAAATATCAAACTATTTAAGTATTATATCTATAGCCAAAACTTTTTTTGTTCAGATTTGAATAGAGTGGGGAAGGTTTAACACTCCTGTTAGGTTTTGCTTCTATCCGGGGCTCTGTTATAGAGATTTTCCATCACTTTCTGTTTTGGGGGGGGGGAAGTTTATCAGACAGGAAAAGGGGTAAACTCTACAACAGGGAAATAGACAACAATAACAATGTAACAGAGGTTCTAGCATTCCCCTGCTTAACAAGAAAAAAAAAATTACTGCTTGTATTACTGTTGGAGAGTTTCCTTTACTCCTTATCTGGCAAAAAGGTTGGACCAGGACAGTGACTAATGGAAAATCTTTTTAACTATGCCTTGGATGGTCATAAAACCTGACAGACGTTGTTATCATTCTCCACACTATACAACACTAAGGCCCGTTCACACTTGAGCATTTTTCAGCTCCAGGCTCCACACTCAGAAACGCTCAACAAGGAAAATCCCATTCATTTAAATGGCCCCTATTCACATTTGTGCATTTTGTCACCTGTAGCAAAACACCTGTCCCTCAAAAAAGTACATTCACTATGTTTCAGGCAGATTTCAGCATTTTTGTCAACATAGACTTGAATGAAAAATGCCTGAACAGCAAGAAATTAGCATTTTTGAGTGTTTTCAGGCATTTTCAGCTCAAACAGCACCTCCCTTTTTCTAGTATCACTCCTCATTTTATAAACACACATCTTCTGATCAGAATGGTGGAGAGTCTACTTCTGGAAGCTAAGACATTCATTGCTCTCATTCATAACCACCCTTGCATCTATGATCCCAGGGATCCCCATTATAAGAGCCGGGCAAGAACCACGAGGGCCTGGTAGGAAGTGGGACGAAACTTGCTGCCCCAGTGGAACAGCTACACTGCTCCCCTGATTTTTTTTTTTTTTTTAATGGTTGAACTGGATGGACTTTTGTCTTTTCTCAGCCAGACTAACTATGTAACTATGTAAGGAGAAAGGTACAGCACTTCTGTGTACAGAAGCCATGTGCTTGATTCTGGTCTTCCTGTTGTATGTGCCTAGGACACATCTACACAGTTTTCTACTGGCCTCAGCAAAAACGCCTAAATGAAAAACACCTATAATATTTACAAATTAGCTCATAAAAAGCTTGAAAAAAAGCCTGAAAATGCTCAGCTCAGTGTGAATGTAGCCTAAAACAAACATTGTTTTTTAAATAAGCAGGCACATATGCATATACTGTAGACACAACTAAGCCCATACTGACACAGCCAAACTATATCCACAGATACAGATCTGTATCATATTGGTTCTGTGGCTTTCATTATTTCTGTATGAAAATACAAGGTCTCTTTTGCTGACAGCTCCCACCCATCAAATAAAAGATGTCTAACAAAAACTGGACAAAAAAAAACTTAGGCGCTGGCTTCCATCCATTGTGCCAACTGCTGCCTCCTAGGAAGGCTGGGTGTTCCATTTCCTGCAAAAGTAGGTTCCTGCATAGTGCTACAATTTCAAGCAACTGGTAAGTAGCTTTATTTCTTTAATGCTTTATTTTGGCCAACTTTTATTATGCATTGTATTCCAAAGTCTCTTAAGAATATTTAAGTGACCCTGTTAACAGCATCACCAACTTTAAGCAGTAGAGCCCAGTAAAGAAGCCTGGTGCATACTTACCGTTTCAGTGGGATTAATTCTGGCCTGCTGGGCATGATGGACATTCTATCCATCTCTTCCGAAAACTTCATATAGCAGCAGCTCCTGAGCTTTTAAACATAAATGAATTCACTTACCTTCCACCAGAAAGGTACAGTAAGTATACATCAAGTTTCGCTGCTGCTTAAAGTTAGTGATGCTGTTGACAGGGTCATTTTAACTGAACAATATGACCAGGGTGTTATTTGTTCTGCAAAGCATATTAAAAGGCAGGACATTTAAACTCTGTACATGTTTGCAGGATATGATTGTTACAAACAATATAAAAGTGTTTAATTTACTACATCAGACCCATCAATTCATTCTGATCATCACTGATTTGAAGACTGGGATCCGGCTTTTAAGCATGCATATGTCCATGTCCTCATGTGTATTGAGAAAAAGTGGGCTGGGAAAGTCAAGTTGGCCACAACTGCGAGTGGGGATTGCCTAAAATAACTAAAGACAAGGAGGGAAAAGCAGTGATGTAACAGATAGACATGTGCAGTTCGTTTCGTTCCAAATTGAAATTTGGACAAATTTTCCGTTATTCGGAGATTCAGATGTATCCGAATTACAATAGTAATAAATTTGAACAAATCTGAAATAACGAAACTAAATTAGCCGAAATTTGAATCTATTGGAATTCAAAAACACATTTGGAAACAAATTCAAATTCGAAAACAAATTTGAAAACCAAATCGAATTGAAAACAAGAAAAGAATAAACTAGAACAGAAAATAAAGGAATAGAAAAGAATAAAAAATAAAATAATTGAATAGAAAAGAATAGAGGAAAAGAGAAGAGAAAATAAAATAATAGAACAGAATACAGTAGAAAATAATAGAGTAAAACAGAACATAAAGGAATAGAAAAGAATAGAATCCTTTAGAATAGAAAAGGTTAAAATAGAAAATCAAAGAATAGAATAGAATAGAGTAAAACAGAGCAAAATAGAAGAACAGAAAATATAGGAATAGAATAGAAACAATTAGAATATAATAGAAAAAGATTAGAATAGAACAAAAAAAACCAAAGAATAGAATAGAAAATATTAGAATAGAGAATCAAAGAATGCAACAGAACAGTGTTTCTCAACCTTTTTTCAGTCAAGGCACCCTTTAAAATTATGGACAGTCCCGAGGCATCCTTTAAAATTATGGACAGTCTTGAGAAACCACATTCTAAAATGGGGGCCTCTAAACTGTCCATAATTTTAAAAGGGCATCCCATTCTAAAATGTGAAAAACTATTCTAACATCCACACACATAGGACACCCAACATTAGAGGTGATTTATTCTTCGAAAGCAAATACACTTTTGCACACTGGTACTGACTAGTATTCCATGGTTTCTCTTCTCCCTCAGTTTTTCTCCATCACTGAGCTAACGTGACCCCAGCGCTGACAAAAACGGAAAGGGAGGGTCAAACTAGGATGCTGTGTAGGCAGCTGACATCCTCCTTATCAGCTGATGATGTCATTGTTTGTTAGGACGCTGGCGGCTAGAAGGTCATAATGGTGCACAATGAAAACCTGTAACTAAAAGCCAGGCTTGTTCCACCCGTTGGCTTGTATACAAGTTTTGGGCAATTTTTAGACATTTTGCCACGGCACCCCTAAAGAAACCTCAAGGCACCCTAGTTGAGAAAGGCTGGAATATAAAATCAAAGAATAGAATAGAAAAGATTAAAATAGAGAATCAAAGAATAGAATAGTATGGAAAAACAACTGAATAGAATATAACTGCCTTCCGAAATTAGAATTTTGAATAGAATGAATTCAAACAGAATACATTAGAATAGAATATAAAATAATTGGAAAGAGTAGAATAGATTAGAAAAGGTTGAAATACTTTACAAAAAATTGTGAGCTGCGCTATAGTGACATGAGTAGTGATCAACAAAGGCACTGTGAAAATTTTACTGAAATAGAAATTTCCAATATAGTCACGCAACTCTTCATATAAGCACATATACCATCAAAAAACACATATGGACTGTGGATTATGGATTGTAACATTAGAATTATTCTCAAATCCATTAGAATTGTTTTTTAATCTGTTTGAAATTTCAAATTCAGTCAAATTCAAATAAACAAAATGAATTCCAAATTACGAGCAAATTTATCTAATCCAATGAAACGAAATTAGTCAAATAATGAATCGAAACGAAACAAAACAAATTTTTTTTTTTCATTTTGCACATATCTAGTAACAGGCATTCAAGGAAAGCTGCATTTTAAGGGGCCTGAGCAGCTAAGCACCAACCCTAGAAGCCATGGTGCTTTAGTCCATATCCTAATTATAAACTTGGCCCTGTTCAAAGAGTCCTTTCTGAATGCCAAATTTTAGCTTAATGGATATGCCACTTAAAATTAAGTTGAATTGCTAATCACAGAACACATACTGTATGCCCACCTAGCAATAGTTTGGAAATTGTTAAAACATTTATAACATTTTGAAACTTGCTGCTGAATATTTCCATATTTAACCACCTGCCAACCGCAGATAGCTGAATGACGGCTACACTGCGGCCGGCCAGTTCTTGGAGGGCGTCATATGACGTCCTCCCCAGAATGCGCTCTCCTGCGCTCCCCTGGGGGCACGAACCTGGCAATCTTCGTGATCACGTGATGTGGTAAAAGGCCAATCACAGCAGCCTTTTACCACGTGATCAGCCGTGTCCAATGACACACTGATCACCGGGAAATGCAATTGCCGGTTCTCGGCTGCACTTTCCTCACGCTGTCAGAGCATGAGGAAAGTACTGCCGAGAACCGGCAGTTGTCAGAGCAGGGATCGGCACCGATCATCAGGGCACTGATTATCAGTGCCCTGATGATCGGTGCCCAGCAGTGCCACCCAACAGTTCCGCCCACCTGTGCCCAGCAGTGCGCCCACCTGTGCACCCACCTGTGCCTAGCAGTGCGTCCACCTGTGCCCAGCAGTGCACCCACCTGTGCCCAGCAGTGCACCCACCTGTGCCACCCAGCAGTGCCACACACCTGTGCTCAGAAGTGCCACCTACCTGTGCCCAGCAGTGCCACCCACCTGTTCCCACCCACATGTGCCCACCAGTGCCACCCACCTGTGTCCACCAGTGCCACCCACCAGTGCCCATCAGTGCAGCCCAGCAGTGCTGCCAGTCAGTGCCACCAGTCAGTGCCCAGTGGCTGTGCTGCCTATCAGTGCCACCTATCCGTGCCACCTCATTAGTGCTGCCTATCAGTGCTGCCTATCAGTCCCCATCAGTGCTGCCTATCAGTCCCCATCAGAGCCGCCTATTAGTGCCCATCAGTGCTGCCGCATCAACGCACATCAGTGAAGGAGAAAAATTACCTGTTTGAAAAATTTTATAATAGAAACAAAGAAACTTTTTTTTATTCAAATTTTTTGCATCTTTTTTGTTTATAGCGCAAAAAGTAAAGTGCCCAGTGGCAATTAAATACCACCAAAAGAAAGCTCTATTTGTGAGAAAAAAATGATAAACATTTCATATGGGTGCACTGTTGCATGACCGCGCAATTGTCATTCAAAGTGCTACAGTGCTGAAAGCTGAAAATTGGCCTGGTAAAGAAGGGGATATAAGTGCCCGGTAAGCAAGTGGTTAAAGTACAGTCTTAGCAACAGCAGTATTTTTTTTTTTTAAGTGATGACTCCTAAAGTGACCCTGCTACCATGGGGTCACTTATACACAATACCATGACTTTAAAGGAACAACCTCTATACCATTCTTTCTGGTGTGTGAAATTCCATTTCTTCACTACTCTACCCCAGGTGGTGGTGATGGATGAGGTCTTCAAGTGGTTCAGTAGGCAAACATTTCAGTCTTTGTGTCTGGTCCAAGATGTATGGTGGGGAGGGGGAAAATAAGTTGTCCACCAGTCAGTTTAGTCTTTTTAAAATTTTAGTGCTGAACTCAATAAAAGGAGAAAGGGTTTAGGGGTTTAGGTACCTAAAAATAGCACAATAAGAGAGCAAGTAATCTAAAGCAGCCTTTTTCAACCAGGCACCCTGGGGTGCCTTCAGGCGTGCCTTGGCAAAATGCCCAAAAATTGTATACAAGCCAGCAGGTGGATCAATCCTGCTTTTTATTACACAAAGCCACAGGTTTTCAATGTGCACTTTTATGACCTTCTAGCTGCCAGCATCTTAACAACCAATGACACGATCAGTTGACAAGGAGGATGTCGGGTGCATGCACATCATCCTTGTTTGGCCCTTCCCTGCCTCTCTCCGTCAGCACTGGGGTCACATTAGCAGAGTGAGGGAGAGAAAACAAGAGAGACACACTGGAATACTATTCAGTACCAGTGTGCAACGGTGAATTTGCTTTGGAAGAATAAATCACCTCTAACGTTGGGTGTAAGGGATGTGTGTAGAATAGGTTTTTACATTTTAGATTGGGGTGCCTTGAGACTGTGCAGAATTTTAAAGGGTGCCTTGAGATTGTGCAGAATTTTAAAGGGCTCCTTGGGATTATCCATAATTTTAAAGGGTGCCTTGACTACAAAAAGGTTCAGAAACACTGTTCTAAAGAGCCTAAGAGTGGTTAACCCTTTAAGAGCAGCCTCTTGTTAATTGCTGGTCCCGTGAAGGCAGCCAGATAGATCTATGACCCTGTAAGAGCAATCACAGACTTTCCTTTAAATTGCAATGGATCTTGTCTCTTTCTAATAAATCCAGCTGTTACCTCTCTGATAGCAATCAAAAATACCTTGGTTTGTTGGCAATGAATCCTTCTTGCAAAGTTCATATAATAAATTATTTATAGCTCCTCTATGACACACCTCAGCAAAGAAGACTCCCTACAGATGCTTCTTCCATGCAGCCATTATTGTGCTCAGTTCCTTCTGTAGCTAAAGTCTTAAGCTTCCAGCACATGCCCCAGCCTGAGAAAATGTATAGATCCTGTTAAACAAACATCTTCTTCAGGCAGAAGCCTTGGGGGCAGAAAACACTGAAAAGACACTCCAAATACTTGTTTTCCAAACCATACCTCTGAACAAGGATTGGTTGAGTCAGATACAGTTTTATATCCCTGATTTCCCTTCCCACTCTAATTATAAGAGCCTCTTTCACATTAAAAGGCATACGCAATCAACCCGCTGAGCCTAGGACCTGCACAGCCCAGAAATGGTAAACAACAGCTTTGATTGACTATATCTTAGTAACAACATTTGCTATATTTATTTTTTTAGGTACAGAACAGCATAGGGCAGGGTCCCTACACCTCTTTCCCATACCACAATTAAGCCAATGGGAAAACCCACAGCATGTGGTGCAGGAGCATATATTCTACACAGTCATAAGTGGAACCCCAAAAGGGCACTGATTCAACACATAGGCCATTGCCATGGTAAGTAAACAGCTGGTTATTTTTCAGTCTGTACATTGTATTTAAGTGACCTTGTATTGTCAGGATCACTTTAAATACTGAAACCCATACCAATTAATTAAAACTCCTATTGTCCTGGTCTGACTTTAAAGTGGCCCCTTTTGCAGATATAGCTTTGTAAAACATTTTAAAAAGTGCCTATATGTAGAGTATATGTTTGAAATCCAGTAATACACTGTATCACCCTTCTCTGCACATGTTCAGTTGCTTTTTGGGCACTGTGACTAAAATCAGAGCAACTAGAGGTCGATCTACTGACAGCCTAAATATTTTCTGCTGCTCAGGGGCTCTGGGCTTCAGCAAAATGGCAGCCTCCAGCAAGAAGAAATAGGAACAATGCTGGAGGAAATTTACAGCACACGCTAAGTTTGGTAGCATAATTATTAATGTGGAATGTATGTTCCTTCCTAAATAACATAATTTTTTTTTTAAGTTTTATAGGTAAAATTCCACTTTAACTGAATAAACTCTGATCAGTTAGCGCACTTAAAACTTGTTGCACTGTTAGAAGAGCATGGTGGCAATCAGAACCAAGCTGATGTTTGAAGAAGGAGGTGTTATTTTATTGGACCTTCTCTTGAAGTATCTAAAAAAAAGAAGCACATGGCACTTACGAACTTGTAAAGCAGGGTTGTTAGGATGGCACAAGTGGGAAAAATGGGGATGTCACATTGTTTCAGTTTTTTTTACATTCATTGTCTTTTCTTTAGTGTGTGAACTCAGAAAGTATTTGTCTATTTACACTGTCATACAAGACCATTAGTGTCTGCATAAATTATTTTTTATTATGCCATTTATGGTAACAACATGAATCTTTCTGAATTGCCATCCTTACAATTTATTTCAAATGCAAAGCATATCCTTTATCTCACTGTAAAATGTAGTTAAATGTTATTTTTTTTCTGGGGGCATGTTTAGTTCGATATCGGTATCTGAATAAATAATTTTGATTCAATAATTGCTTGTTCTCATGGAGGATACTTATGCTGAAACCCACATACAGTTGCATTAACTATTAATGCTTAAATGTTTCCAGATGTTTTCCATAGACTCAGTACATTTAAGATAATATTGCTTGTATTTGTAATTGTGAAAAGATCAGTGGAAAAAAATATAAATATACTAAGAATGCCTTGTCTCTTCATGTGATTTGCCTAAAGGATAAGTTCACCTTTATACAAAAATTATTAAATGCACATTTTTTTGCAGGTTATGAAATGTGCATTTATTATTTTTTGTTGCAGGAACCTGTAAACCATTGCACTAGCGATCAGAGATCACTGGTGCCATGTAGGTCTCCTGCAGATCTGTCAGTATATCTGCTTGCCCATATGGGATGTATGGGCAAACAGATATACCGACAGAAAGACTGAATGAACTACCACGGCGCTCCACATCACCATGGTAGTTCATTGAGAACTACAAGCCAACAGCTGCTAAGGCTGTCGGGACTTGTAGTTTTCTCATTCACAGAACACAGTGAATGAGTGACATGGCCATGTGGGCAGAGTCAAGTTTTTTTTAAAAACTTTGACAGGTAGCGAGGGGGGGGGGGGGGGGGGGGGGGGGGAAGATCCCCCACTAGCTGTCAAAGCGAGTGAGTGGGGGGAGCAGGGGCCGGTGCATTCATAACATGTTACATCCTGAATATGGGTGTAAAATGTTATGAAAGGTGAACCTATCCTTTAAATGTGTGTCATCATTAGCAATGACTTAAGGTGTTACTAAACCTAGTACCCTGCATTCACTATATCTGGTCTCCCACACTACACAGAACATGGAAATTAAATTATTTTTGTAAATATAAACAGCAAAATACCTTTTCTCATCAGCAGTTAGAGCAGTTTTGTGACTTCTATCAATTTCCAGCAGAGTACCGGTTAAAGCTTGCAGGAGGAGATTTTATTCTCCCCTGATTGTCTTATGAGGCTGCAGGACCTCTGACCCTATGTCTGACCAGCGCTGGTTGGCCCTGTGCTCATCACATGCATTTTCCCAAGAAAAGAAAAACTCTCTAGCAATACACGCCAAACCGAGCATGTGCAGCTTCCCCCAAGGCTCTGTTCTATCAGCAGATGGATTGGGGACTGTGGAAGAAGAGGGCACAGAAGACAGCATTAAACATCCTTTTTATACAATACAAAGGATTAACCCCTTAGGTTCCACAGTGAGTAAACAAGCATACTTTATGCATATACAGACTGATTTTACTGGTTTAGTAACACTTTAGGAGAGAAAAAAATACATTTATATTATATTTACCATAAAATGTTTTTCTTTGAGCCCCCGCATAACCTCTTCTCTACCCAGCATGTCTTCATTTTGTGGGAAAGCAACATACAGGGCCAGGAAAACACACTACACACACACAAAGGGGTGGGACCTATGCTTCTCAATGGACTTGAAAAAATAGATTTTATGGTACATACAAAATTCTTATTTTCTCTATCATTTAGGGTCACTGGAATTCTGAAACAGTTGGGACATACAAAAACAGTCCAACTGAGGGGTGGGAATCAGGGGAATCTGCCAATTGTCAAGGGAGGGCCACAGAGAAGCAACCTGATGCTCAAAACCAGGACAGAACAGATCGCCACCAAGGGGAATCACTGCACTCGAAGGAACACTAAGTGTGTACCAGCAAGAGAATATGAAACCAAAGCACACTACCTGATAAGGAAAAAATAGATAAACAATGTGATATGGTCAGTAAGGTCACTGGGACAAGTACCCAGTGGAACAACTTCCTAGAAGGTATCTTAAACAAACAACAGGCCCACAAGAAAAGATCAGATGTTCTAGAAAC